GTAGACGTTGCGGTGTCCTTTCTGCTCCGCTGCAGGCGGCCGGGGCTGTGTGGGAAACGGCCCGGGCCCTGCCGGCTCAGAAGAGGTTTGGCCGCTCACGGGAGCTGCGCTGGGTCCCAAAGCCTGGCTTCTCCGCGGGAGTCCGGTTAAGCGGCGGTGCTGGCTTTCTCTCCCCTCGCCAGCGCTGGGAGCTCTTGGATTCCGCCTCCGCCGCCTATTTCGGGCCTGCCGGACGGGAAGCCTGTCAGCGTCCCCTGGCACCGCGGTGTGCTGTGGGGAGGGAGGAGACAAGGAGCCGCGGCGGCTGCACGGCCGGCGTTTTAAGTTTTGCTCTAAACACCTTACAGACGCTCCTGGGCTTGAATCCCGTAGTGCAGGACGGTGCTTTAAGGGAGAGATTGCTTGTCAGTTCAGTACTAATGTCTCTGATAACCTTTCATTTACTGTTGTCACAAGTCACCCCTAACACCTCACCCCTCAGTGTTAGGGGATGGAGATAATCTGGCGACTGAGTTGCTCGTAGTCATGTTCTGGGAAGATCCAGGTGCTGGTGCATCTATACTGCTAACTGGGTAGAGGCAAGCACTGTGCTTGAAGCTGATATTGTCACATACTGATGTATTTACTGGTCCATTTTTTATTTTTTAAAGTTTGCAGCTTTTCTGCAGTTACAGCAATGGGATGTTTGCATTTGTGTAGGAGGGGCATAGCTGGCTCTAAAATACCTATATATACCTCTATACCTAATGTTTCTGCATCAACATCTGTTGCGCTTTGTTGGGAAACTAACATAGGAAAGCTTATTTTGGTGGTTTAACTTCCAATGGAAGATGATCTGAAGTCAGATGCATGTGTCCTCTTCGCTAATTCATTCTGCTTAACAAAAATACAGCAGGGGGTTTTTTTGTGCATCAGAGTTGGATGTAGCTATGCTACTTTTTTGCAAGAAACTTGTTCATCTGCTCTGAAGTGGCTTTGTGGTACTGATGGATTTTTGTTTGGTGGAAGATTGATCTTGCATGTCTTCCCATCACCACCACAATTTCTCTTTTGTTTTCACATGTGCGTCCATGGCCAGATGTTTGGTGTACGTGATTGTTTTCATTGTTGTATAGCTGAGGCCTGACAGATTCCATCAGTTTACTCTTCACGCTAGCATCCTGCAAATTACTGTGTGACTTTATTCAAGTTTTATGTGAGCAGTCTACTTAGTTGAGCTTTGGTTTGTTGATTTGAGAGATGGCTGGCATCCAAAGCCAATCATGTTTCACATTTAATACAGCTTAAAAATAAGGCTTTCCCCCCCACCTCCCCTTCAAATAGTATTTGGAGCATATGTCATCTGATGTTTGTTTTGTTTTTGATAATGGTAGTATATGACATCTCATTGTCGCACTGCTTAGGATGCCTCATTTGATGCTGTCTGAGAATCTACAGGTCGTACTAGAAGAAGTTAACTCCACTGAACAGACAAATAATTCTTCCAGTCTCTGCTCTTCACCCCCACTCTAAAATGAGTGTAGCAGTACATTTGGTATTTGTTCATCATTTCACTTCCCGAGTTCCTCTCTTATATTTGGGTTTCACTACCAGCTAGTAATGTAGAGTGAGGGTAGCCTCAGTGCTGGCTAATCTAAATATAAGCTATGGAAAATGAGTAGGGTTTTTACTGTAGATACAATAAACTTTATTTATTTTATTTGTTTCTGTTTTTCTCCTCCTCCCACAGAGGAAGTCTGGAAGGGAAAAGAGAACAGAAGAGTTACAAAGCTCTCTTAGAAGATCCAATGCTGAAGTTCTCGGGACTGTATCAAGAAACTTGCTCTGACTTGTATGTAACTTGCCAGGTGTTTGCGGAAGGGAAGCCTCTTGCTCTTCCCGTTAGAACTTCCTACAAGGCTTTTAGCACTAGATGGAAGTAAGTGACTCCCTTTTTATTTCATATTATTCTTAGTTACAGGGGTATCAAGCTATATAAACAGCTATATAAAATGTATGGTTTTTTATTTCTGTCAGGAAGATTTGTTTTCTGTTGTCTTCTTCAAGTCTCTGTGTGGTTATTAATTGTTACCCTGACAGCACAAACCCAACCTTGCTGTGTAATGGGTAAGGGATAAAATTGTCACTGGTGTGTTCAGGCATGGTTCAGTATTTAAGAACTCCTGGGGCCTGAACATACTTTTTACAAGACAGACTGATCCTTGGTACTTGGTCATCAGGCCACATTATTTTTCCTTTGGTGTCTAGCCTTTGAATCATGGTCAAGACAAGAATTTGAATTATTAAAGAGCAAAGAAAAATAGTCCATCTGCCAGAAACCCCAAAATCTGGGTTGTGTAGACAGATACAGAGTAATTTGAATTCTAAAGCTTTATGACTAATGAAAAGTCTTTCTCTGCAGCTGGAATGAATGGCTGAAGCTCCCTGTGAAGTATCCAGACTTGCCTCGCAACGCTCAGGTGGCTCTGACCATCTGGGATGTGTATGGACCTGGTAAAGCAGTTCCTGTGGGAGGAACAACGGTCTCGCTCTTTGGGAAATATGGGTATACTGCTGCTTCTTCTATGGTACAGATTTGAAGCTTGTTTGTGAATAGTAAGGTAGCAGTGGTTACAAGAGGATTTTTGTTTTTTATTTTTTTTTATTGTTTTGAAACCCAGTTAACAGTTCTCTGTTTGGAAAATCAGATACATAGATTATTTACCCTGTTTCTTCCTGAGTGTGACTTCATACATGCTAGTGTTGTGACACCAAAATTTAAGCTTCTTTTTTTTTTTATTTGAAGATCCGTAAGCTTGGTTTTTAAAGTAGCAAATGCTGAAATCACTTCATATTTATATTTTTATAATGCATGGACACTAGTGCTGATTAGTTAACATAGTTGATTTAATCAGCTTGCAATTGGGCTGTTAGTGCAGTATTACATATAAGAAATAAAGTGCAACTCCGTAAGTCACAAGTTTGTGTAGTTAATAATCTGTGATCCAATAGTAGATAGGTTTGGTCGATTTGTGGCTGATAATACTAAAATGGGAGGATTACATTTGTGCTGTAAGGTGACAATACATCAAAAGAATCTTGACCTGGTGCAAAGGGGACTGAAAAAAATAGGATGTAGTTTAAGGAAAAATGTGAGATGCTGGTACTTTTTGCAGTTCATTGTAGTCAGATACAGAATGGGGAGCAGAATCCCAGGAAAACAGGAGAAGATTTGGGTTTTAGAGTGAATTTTAAGTTTTGTGTGATTCAGCATCCTGATGTTGTTGTGAAACGTGCAAACAGCGCTGAATATACGAACAATCTACAGGTGTATGCACTGGGGACAAAGTTGTGTCCTCGTCCTCCTCCCTACTTGCCCACTTGGCTGGGTTATGTTCAGTTCCGTATAACTGACTGTCAGCAAGTTACTGGCTACTGGGAGTCTAAGGGAGTCAGTATCATTGAATGTCTAGCAAATAGGTGTGATGGAGGAGAAGGCTTAGGGACACTTATCTCGTATGTAGGTAGCATTGGAAAATGGGAAGAAATAGCTTTTTTTTTTGTCTTGTGGATAAGAAGTAATAAGACTAAATGGAAGTGCAGGAAAAGTTTAGGCTAACATTAGGAAAGTGGTTCTAGTGATACTTGAGTGCAGAAAAAGGCTGTAGAGGGAGGTTGTGTCTCTGTCAGTGAAGATGCTGCTTTGATTCAAAGATTGACTTTGTATTAGGGCAGAAAACTGAACTGGAGCAATTGTGCCCCAGAGACTACTGGCAGTTTTTGAAGTGTTATAGTTCCTGGAGAAGAATATAGTTTACACATGAAATTTGCTTTTCTTTCCAGCCTGTGGGGCCTGGGGAAAGTATACAGAAAGAAAGCAACAAATAATTTTGAAATTTTGTGTTTGATTGTAAATGGAAACAATTCTAGTAGTATTCCACAAGGTGATGTGTAAATTCAAGGTCAGATGATTCTTCTAGTTGGTATTTTTCATTTTTAGTGGTTGACTTTTTAAAGCATTCCTTCCAGTTGTATTTACCTGAGGTTGTTAGAGTTAAGTAACCACCTCTTATTGGTAAAAGTGAGGCACTTGATTTCTTGGAGCATCTTTTACAGGTGGATCAGCACACATGTGCAAGGAAAACGGTTTTGCAGGGAAAAGGTGTGGTCAGTTACCCTGCAAAGTTCTGTTCACTGCAGTTTCAATTACCAATTCAATTTCAAGCATAGATGGAGGAAATGTTATGTTTTGAGAGTTGTGCTCTTTTTTTTTTTATTTATTTGGCAGCTCTGAAGACGGTTTTATATTTAACCTTCAAATGAAACTTAGGTAATTTTTTAGTTGAGGTTTTTTTCAGGCTGGCAGACCTAAAGTCAGTATTATAATTTGCAAGTGAAGAGGAATAATTTCTGCTTCATTGCAAATAATAAAACTGTGAAGGTCAAGCTCTGTCATCAGTTTGCGTTTGTACCACCCCACTAACTTTGGCAGTTACCCATTTTTATTTTGCTTGCCAAATAAGTTATCTCAGACTTACTCTTTTTCTTCTAAACTTTGTGTGCCAATAAAAATGAAGGCCCTAGAGGGCACAAGGTGCGTGGCATTTTTTGTAGTTAGTTAAATTATACATGGCAATGTGTGTAAGTTTGGCAAAGGAAGCCACTTCATTTACTTGCAGCTGCTGCTGTGCTTTGATTGCTGACAGCTGTATTATTTTGAACTTACTGAAGTGATTCTGCATTTTTACCTGCAGTATGTTTCGTCAAGGAATGCATGACTTGAAAGTCTGGCCCAACGTAGAAGCTGATGGCTCGGAGCCCACCAGAACTCCTGGGAGAACCAGCAGCACAGTCTCTGAAGATCAAATGAGCCGCTTGGCAAAGGTAATGGAATAGATGTAACCTTTAAGATGTGTGTGAAAAGCTTGCACTGTCACTGGAGTGAAGACAGGCTTCACATGTTGTTTTCTCATGTGAAAGCTGTCTTCCTTTGCTTGTGTAGATGTTTCACAAGATTTGTACAAATGAGTAAACTAGATCATACTCGTTTGCTACTGAATTATTTTTTAAAAGGGAAAATATAAGTACCTTTTAATATGCATAGCATTCTGTCATAATAACCTAACATCCTAATTCTTTGTAAAGAGTGAAAATGTGAACGTGCCTTGATGCTTGAAGCCAAAATTCCATCAGGTTCAGTAACTTGTGAGGACAGAGTGGTTTCTTTTAGTAGGAATCCTTTAGATTTCAGGCCATCTGGTGTAATTTCAGATGTGTATGACATACCTCTATCTTAGAAAGAATTTCAGTAGAACTGCAAAAATCAAACAAAGTTTAATTCACTTAAGCTTGTAGTTGTGTGTATATTAATATTTTCTTCTCCTAGCTTGATGGCAGAATGGTTTTTTTTGCCATCTAAAGTACTTCTGGAATTGCTCAGTAAATGTTAGCTCTTGAACTGTTTTACTGGCAGATCTCTCATTCTTCAGGTAAGCTTACACCAAGCTTGCCAGATCTTTCAACTCACTCAGTGTACTTTCTTCTTAATGTTGGTCTCCTAGTTCTCATACTCACCTTTGTGCAACTCCCAGTGAAAGATGTTTCCAGTGCCATAAATATGTCCATTTTTCTCATCTACAGATTTATCACAGCAATAGTCTAACTTTCATTTAGGGCCTCTCTTTTATTAATCTAGTTCTCTTTGAATTTATAGTGAAAAACTCATTAAAGCTTTCTGGCAGTGGTGGTTTCCCATTTCTTAATCATAGT